TCCCCACCCAGTTTTTCTAGACTCCACCCCCCGTTGTAGCACCCATCCCGTCCTGCACTCCATCCCGTCTCTGCACTCCTCCAGTCTCTAGCACTCCATCCAGTCTCTAGCACTCCATCCAGTCTCTAGCACTCCATCCAGTCTCTAGCACTCCATCCAGTCTCTAGCACTCCATCCAGTCTCTAGCACTCCATCCAGTCTCTAGCACTCCATCCAGTCTCTAGCACTCCACCCAGTCTCTAGCACTCCATCCAGTCTCTAGCACTCCATCCAGTCTCTATACCTGCACCCAGTCTGTAGCACTCCATCCAGTCTCTAGCACTCCACCCAGTCTATACCCCCCCAGTCTCTAGCCCTCACCCCCCAGTCTCCACCTCCAGTCTATGCCCCTCCACCCAGTCTATACACCTGTACACCACCGGTCTCTACCCTTCCACCCCACGACCCCTTCTCTACCCCTCCACACAGTCTCTACCCAGTCTCTACCCAGTCTCAATCCTTCCACCCAGTGTCTACCCCTCCACCTCACCACCCAGTCTGTACCCCTCAACCTAGTCTCCACATCTGCACCCAGTCTCTAGCCCTCCATCCAGTCTCTAGCCCTCCACCCAGTCTCTAGCCCTCCATCCAGTCTCTAGCCCTCCACCCAGTCTCTACCCCTCACCCAGTCTCTACCCCTCCACCCAGTCTATACCCCACCACCCAGTCTCTACCCCATCATCCCACCACAAAGTCTCCACCCCACCACCCAGTCTCTACCCCTCCACCCAGTCTCTACCCTTCCACCCAGTCTCCACCCCACCACCCAGTCTCCACCCATCATCCCACCACAGTCTCCACCCCTCCACCTAGTCTCTACCCCTCCACCCAGTCTCCACCCCTCCACCCAGTCTCTACCCCTCCACCACACCACCCAGTCTCCACCCCTCCACCCAGTCCCCACCCCTCCACACAGTCTCCACCCAGTCTCTACCCCTCCACCCCACCACCCAGTCTCTACCCCTCCACCCAGTCTCCACCCCTCCACCCAGTCTCTACCCCTCCACCCCACCACCCAGTCTCCACCCCTCCACCCGTCTCCACCCCAGTTCTCTACCCCCCTCCCCCCCACCACAGTCTCTACCCCTCCACCCAGTCTCTACCCCTCCACCCCACCACCCAGTCTCTACCCTCCACCCCACCACCCAGTCTCTACCCCCTCCACCCCACCACCCAGTCTCCACCCCACCACCCAGTCTCTATCCTCACCCCACACCCAGTCTCTAGCCCTCCCACCTCTCCACCCAGTTCTCCACCCCTCCCACCCGTCTCCACCCCACCACCCATCTCCCACCCCCCACCCCAGTTCTCCCCCCACCCCCAGTCTCCACCCCTCCACCCCCACCCCCCCCAGTCTCCCACCCCCCACCCAGCTCCCCCCACCCCTTCCACCCCACCGTCTCTACCCCCTCCACCCCCCCACCACCCAGTCTCTACCCCCCCTACCCACCACCCACCCCACCACCCAGTCCTCTACCCGCTCCACCCCCACCCATTCTCCACCCACCCTCCACCCATCTCCACCCCACCCAACCGACCAGTTTCCACCCCTCCACCCCACCACCCATCTCCACCCCACCACCCAGTCTCCACCCTCCACCCCACCACGCCATCTCCAACCCTCACCACCAGTCGCCACCCCACCACCCAGTCTCTAAACGCACCTCCACCCACCCCCCCCACCCGTCTCTACCCTACCAACCCCACCACCCAGTCCCCCTCTACCCCCAACCCCTCCACCCATTCTCTACCCCTCCACCCCACCCCCCAGTCTCCAACCCCCCCCACCCAGTCTCCAGCACCACCACCTAGGTCCTCCACACCACCACCCAGTCTTCCCCCTCCACCCCACCACCCATTCTTCGACCCCTCCACCCGTCTCTACCCCCTCCACCCCACCACCCCGTCCTCTACCCCTCCCCCAGTCCTCTACCCCTCCACCCCACCACCACAGTCTCGCACCCCACCACCCAGGTCTCCACCCACACCACCCAGTCTCCACCCCACCACCCAGTCTCCCACCCCACCACCCAGTCTCCACCCCTCCACCCAGTCTCTACCCCTCCACCCCTCTACTCACAGTCTCAGGTCTGTTCTCACCATGAGACTGTGTTAGCCTGCTGAGCTAAAGGTCTGTTCTCACCATGAGACTGTGTTAGCCTGCTGAGCTAAAGGTCTGTTCTCACCATGAGACTGTGTTAGCCTGCAGAGCTAAAGTTCTAACCATGAGACTGTGTTAGCCTGCTGAGCTAAAGGTCTGTTCTTACCATGAGACTGTGTTAGCCTGCTGAGCTAAAGATCTGTTCTAACCATGAGACTGTGTTAGCCTGCTGAGCTAAAGGTCTGTTCTAACCATGAGACTGTGTTAGCCTGCTGAGCTAAAGGTCTGTTCTAACCATGAGACTGTGTTAGCCTGCTGAGCTAAAGGTCTGTTCTAACCATGAGACTGTGTTAGCCTGCTGAGCTAAAGGTCTGTTCTCACCATGAGACTGTGTTAGCCTGCTGAGCTAAAGTTCTAACCATGAGACTGTGTTAGCCTGCTGAGCTAAAGTTCTCACCATGAGACTGTGTTAGCCTGCTGAGCTAAAGGTCTGTTCTCACCATGAGACTGTGTTAGCCTGCTGAGCTAAAGTTCTCACAATGAGACTGTGTTAGCCTGCTGAGCTAAAGGTCTAACCATGAGACTGTGTTAGCCTGCTGAGCTAAAGTTCTCACCATGAGACTGTGTTAGCCTGCTGAGCTAAAGTTCTGTTCTAACCATGAGACTGTGTTAGCTTGCTGAGCTAAAGGTCTGTTCTCACCATGAGACTGTGTTAGCTTGCTGAGCTAAAGGTCTGTTCTCACCATGAGACTGCGTTAGCCTGCTGAGCTAAAGTTCTGTTCTCACCATGAGACTGTGTTAGCCTGCTGAGCTAAAGTTCTGTTCTCACCATGAGACTGTGTTAGCCTGCTGAGCTAAAGGTCTGTTCTCACCATGAGACTGTGTTAGCCTGCTGAGATAAAGGTCTGTTCTCACCATGAGACTGTGTTAGCCTGCTGAGCTAAAGGTCTGTTCTCACCATGAGACTGTGTTAGCCTGCTGAGCTAAAGGTCTGTTCTCACCATGAGACTGTGTTAGCTTGCTGAGCTAAAGGTCTGTTCTCACCATGAGACTGTGTTAGCCTGCTGAGATAAAGGTCTGTTCTCACCATGAGACTGTGTTAGCCTGCTGAGCTAAAGGTCTGTTCTCACCATGAGACTGTGTTAGCCTGCTGAGCTAAAGTTCTCACCATGAGACTGTGTTAGCCTGCTGAGCTAAAGGTATGTTCTCACCATGAGACTGTGTTAGCCTGCTGAGCTAAAGTTCTGTTCTCACCATGAGACTGTGTTAGCCTGCTGAGCTAAAGGTCTGTTCTAACCATGAGACTGTGTTAGCCTGCTGAGCTAAAGGTCTGTTCTCACCATGAGACTGTGTTAGCCTGCTGAGATAAAGGTCTGTTCTCACCATGAGACTGTGTTAGCCTGCTGAGCTAAAGGTCTGTTCTAACCATGAGACTGTGTTAGCCTGCTGAGCTAAAGGTCTGTTCTCACCATGAGACTGTGTTAGCCTGCTGAGCTAAGGGTTTGTTCTCACCATTAACTGCATGAAGAGGTCCATGAGGTCTTGAGGAGGCAGAACCACCGAGGTGTTCAGGGGAATCACAAAACATGTCCTCAGAGTCAGGTCCAGATATGCCGTCAGCTTCTACACACACACACCAGAAATAAGTCAGAAAACACTCACTTATGTCTGCCATCATCCATTACAACAACAAAACAGCCGGGTTTCATGTAATGGAATGTTTGTGTAGTTGTATTTAGGCCGTATGTTTGTACGTTTGGGGGGGGGCACGACATTTGGGGGCCCCAAACCAAAATAATAATAATTTATTAATCGTTTTGGGTTGCTGTACCCCCGGAGGTCGAGCCCCCTTGACAGCATATAAACTATAAACACGTCATAAGCTATGATTTTTAAAAATTATTATTACAGGAAATTACCTTTAAAACTGCAAAGTTCTCTCTCAGCCTCATGGCAAAATGTGTCGGATAGCAAGAAATTAGCTCAGGGATTCTTGAAAGTCAATCCTTGTCCGGCAGGGAAACGTTATTTTAATTGTTTAAAAAATGGATTTTGCTGCATTATTTGAGCTTAAAATGTACATTTAGGGGAAAATATTTGTTTTGGGAATTTTCTAAATAATTTCAATATAATTCAATTTCATGTCGTCTCTATGCCTAATTCAATTCCTTGTCTGGAGCAAAGGATCCCAATTTCAACACTCTCCAAAAAAGTGTTAACAATTCTAAAAATGGTCAATAATGGATATTAACTGAATAATTATGTTATGTAGCCCTCTGTGACATTAAAGAATATTTATATCAAAACTGTGATTCCTAAAAGATGTGTCTGGAGATTTGGTCAACTCTGTCAGATTTGTTTAAAATCCTAAATTAAATCAGGAATCAGTGTGTGTCTAGGTGTGTGTACCCTTTGGAAGTCGTGCAGGATATATGCGGGGTCTCCCTGGGCAAAGCGAGGGGTTGAGACACTGATGGTGGCCATGCTGTCAGAGATCTCTACTTCCTCCTCAACGCGGGGAAGATAGTAGGGCTGGCTCTCTACCGCCGCCCCGCTGGACACCTCACTGAACTGCATTGCCCCGTGGTACAGCCTCTACAGAGGAAGAACAGCAGGGGGGCAATCAAAATGTAATGCCCCAAGAGAGAAATTTGGTTTGCAAGCAGGGGTAACATGATAAAAATACAAAAGATTCAGTACCTTGGGTGTGTAGTATCGGTAGAGGCAGGCTGCTCCTACTATGGCCCCAGTCAGGATGAATGCTAGTCCCAGTAGAGTGAGGACACATCTCCCTGTAGAGCCTTGATTACTGCTGCTAAGGTTACCCACAGCTGCCTCAGGGTCCTACACACACACACACAGTGAAATGTAGCAACATGTAAACCCATCAATTGGGTATTCTAAAACAGTACAGTGCAACAATGTTTCAAATAGAAAAAAAACGTGTCAAATTGTGCAACGTTTAATGCAGTAACATAATAAGCTACATTGTCTTATATGTATATTATTTAATAAGGACAGCGCAACCATTTTTCAATCTGACGGAAACTTCACCATTAACTGACAGCTGTCGAAATTCTAAAATGGGCGGTCCCAAATCATGGCGCATCTCACAACAAACGGAGCGTAGCATCTATTCAACCACAGTATCGGTGCTCTACAGACCTCTAGCGCACACATACTGGTTCATTCTGCTATGTGCTTCTAGCTTTTATGACCACTGCACCGCCGGCGGGCTCCAGTGTGTCTAGTCTACCGGGTCTCTGAGTGGTGTTGTGGCCGGGGGAAGGCCTCTTCTGTCCCGCTGCAGCGCCATCAGACCACCGCTAATGTCAAGACAGAGAAACTTACTTTCTCCGACACCAGCCCAGCCTCCTTCCCTTGCAGGGCTTTCTGCGCCAGAGCAGAGTTGAATGCTATCTTCACCATGTTACGACAGTACTTAGACGATTATTTATCCCCGGGTATAATAGCGCGCACTAGCTCTCCTGTGAACCGCGTGATTCTGTGACGCACTTTGAATAAACCGAGAGGGGGCTTGATCTCGGTGTGTTCCGGACCGATCACATGTTTGCAGATGTCATTTGGGATTAAAGGGAGGCACAAATAATGTGGATAGAGCTTCAACTACTGGGCTACACTGCAGCTATGAAGCGATAGTCAGAAGAAAATGGCATTAAATAATATATATATATATATATATATATATTGTAAATTGTGCATTCCTTGTTTGGCGGTCAGATTTCAGGACCGAGGTCGAACCACATTATTCTAGAATGACCAGCAGGACATGTGGATTGACTGGTTGTGGATGAGGGAGAGAAACCAATGGGAGAGCGACTGCCCCTCTCTTTGAAGCAACGGAAGCTCAAAGCCGACCGAGGTACAGCAGGCATTGTTAGCAGAAAACAGGACCCCCCCATTATAGGAATGGAAAAATGGCATTCTTATTGGTCACTCGTCGTGTAAATTAAAATATGTTAAAACGACAATCACCTGATGTAGGAAAAAATCGCACACAGAATAATTTATAAGGATAATTTAGCCTGCAATACCCCGTTCGGCCTTCAATTTGAGTTAATCAATGAGAGGGGGCAGCACTGAGCTAGCCTGCAATGTCCCTTCCATGAGTACTTCAAACTGTGCATATAGAAAGCAATAGTAATGGCGTCTTTTTGTAGCCACTAACTTGCCGTGGTTCTTCTTCTTTGAGTTTCTATTGGCTGATCGCAACCAACTGACAGGGGCAAACACCACCACCTACTGTAGTAGAGTGTGAGGCCGGTGACAACCTGTCTATTCCACTATATTCTCTTAATTAAACCTTCATTTCGAACAAAATAAAACAATTCCTTACAAACCTCACCACTCCCATCACCCCCACCCAAAATACCACCTACTACTAAACACACCTTTTCTATTCATATACTGTCCATACTGTCTATACACACCATCATATGCATATACTTTATCTAGGTACTGGAGGACAAATGGGGTAATAATGTGTGTATATGTACAGTGAGGGAAAAAAGTATTTGATCCCCTGCTGATTTTGTACGTTTGCCCACTGACAAAGACATGATCAGTCTATAATTGTAATGGTAGGTTTATTTGAACAGTGAGAGACAGAAAAACGCATGTCAAAAATGTTATAAATTGATTTGCATTTTAATGAGGGAAATAAGTATTTGACCCCTCTGCAAAACATGACTTAGTTCTTGGTGGCATAACCCTTTTTGGCAATCACAGAGGTCAGACGTTTCTTGTAGTTGGCCACCAGGTTTGCACACATCTCAGGAGGGATTTTGTCCCAGTCCTCTTTGCAGATCTTCTCCAAGTCATTAAGGTTTCAAGGCTGACGTTTGGCAACTCAAACCTTCAGCTCCCTCCACAGATTTTCTATGGGATTAAGGTTTGGAGACTGGCTAGGCCACTCCAGGACCTTAAAGGGCTTCTTCTTGAGCCACTCCTTTGTTGCCTTGGCCGTGTGTTTTGGGTCATTGTCATGCTGGAATACCCATCCACGACCCATTTTCAATGCCCTGGCTGAGGGAAGGAGGTTCTCACCCAAGATTTGACGGTACATGGCGCCGTCCATCGTCCCTTTGATGCGGTGAAGTTGTCCTGTCCCCTTAGCAGAAAAACACCCCCAAAGCATAATGTTTCCACCTCCATTTTTGACAGTGGGGATGGTGTTCTTGGGGTCATAGGCAGCATTCCTCCTCCTCCAAACACGGTGAGTTGAGTTGATGCCAAAGAGCTCGATTTTGGTCTCATCTGACCACAACACTTTCACCCAGTTCTCCTCTGAATCATTCAGATGTTCATTGGCAAACTTCAGACGGGCCTGTATATGTGCTTTCTTGAGCAGGGGGACCTTGCGGGCGCTGCAGGATTTCAGTCCTTCACGGCGTAGTTTGTTACCAATTGTTTTCTTGGTGACGATGGTCCCAGCTGCCTTGCGATCATTGACAAGATCCTCCCGTGTAGTTCTGGGCTGATTCCTCACCATACTCATGATCATTGCAACTCCACAAGGTGAGATCTTGCATGGAGCCCCAGGCCGAGGGAGATTGACAGTTATTTTGTGTTTCTTCCATTTGCGAATAATCGCACCAACTGTTGTCACCTTCTCACCAAACTGCTTGCCGATGGTCTTGTAGTCCATTCCAGCCTTGTGTAGGTCTACAATCTTGTCCCTGACATCCTTGGAGAGCTCTTTGGTCTTGGCCATGGTGGAGAGTTTGGAATCTGATTGATTGATTGCTTCTGTGGACAGGTGTCTTTTATACAGGTAACATGCTGAGATTAGGAGCATTCCTTTTAAGAGTGTGTTCCTAATCTCAGCTCGTTACCTGTATAAAAGACAGCTGGGAGCCAGAAATCTTTCTGATTGAGAGGGGGTCAAATACTTATTTCCCTCATTAAAATGCAAATCAATTTATAACATTTTTGACATGCGTTTTTCTGGATAAATTGAGATTTTTTTTCTCCAGAAAATCACATTGTAGGATTTTTCATGAATTTATTTGCAAATTATGGTGGAAAATAAGTATTTGGTCACCTACAAACAAGCAAGATTTTCTGGCTCTCACAGACCTGTAACTTCTTCTTTAAGAGGCTCCTCTGTCCTCCACTCGTTACCTGTATTAATGGCACCTGATTGAACTTGTTATCAGTATAAAAGACACCTGTCCACAACCTCAAACAGTCACACTCCAAACTCCACTATGGCCAAGACCAAAGAGCTGTCAAAGGACACCAGAAACAAAATTGTAGACCTACACCAGGCTGGGAAGACTGAATCTGCAATAGGTAAGCAGCTTGGTTTGAAGAAATCAACTGTGGGAGCAATTATTAGGAAATGGAAGACATACAAGACCACTGATAATTTCCCTCAATCTGGGGCTCCACGCAAGATCCTACCCCGTGGGGTCAAAATGATCACATGAACGGTGAGCAAATATCCCAGAACCACACGGGGGGACCTAGTGAATGACCTGCAGAGAGCTGGGACCAAAGTAACAAAGCCTACCATCAGTAACACACTACGCCGCCAGGGACTCAAATCCTGCAGTGCCAGACGTGTCCCCCTGCTTAAGCCAGTACATGTCCAGGCCCGTCTGAGGTTTGCTAGAGTGCATTTGGATGATCCAGAAGAGGATTGGGAGAATGTCATATGGTCAGATGAAACCAAAATATATATTTTTTGTAAAAACTCAACTCGTCGTGTTTGGAGGACAAATAATGATGAGTTGCATCCAAAGAACACCATACCTACTGTGAAGCATGGGGGTGGAAACATCATGCTTTGGGGCTGTTTTTCTGTAAAGGGACCAGGACGACTGATCCGTGTAAAGGAAATAATGAATGGGGCCATGTATCATGAGAGTTTGAGTGAAAACCTCCTTCCATCAGCAAGGGCATTGAAGATGAAACGTGGCTGGGTCTTTCAGCATGACAATGATCCCAAACACACCACCCGGGCAACGAAGGAGTGGCTTCGTAAGAAGCATTTCAAGGTCCTGGAGTGGCCTAGCCAGTCTCCAGATCTCAACCCCATAGAAAATCTTTGGAGGGAGTTGAAAGTCCGTGTTGCCCAGCGACAGCCCCAAAACATCACTGCTCTAGAGGAGATCTGCATGGAGGAATGGGCCAAAATACCAGCAACAGTGTGTGAAAACCTTGTGAAGACTTACAGAAAACGTTTGACCTGTGTCATTGCCAACAAAGGGTATATAACAAAGTATTGAGAAACTTTTGTTATTGACCAAATACTTATTTTCCACCATAATTTGCAAATAAATTCATTAAAAATCCTACAATGTGATTTTCTGGATTTTTCTTTCTCATTTTGTCTGTCATAGTTGACGTGTACCTATGATGAAAATTACAGGCCTCTCTCATCTTTTTAAGTGGGAGAACTTGCACAATTGGTGGCTGACTAAATACTTTTTTCCCCCACTGTACATTCGGTTGCAAGTTACCCCTCGACTTATAGTTGACGAGGTATATGTTCGATGTAACCTCTCATTGAATATCTGCAAACTCGTGGTAGCAGAAATTTAGGAAGGAACTATGAGAAATAAGGAACGACAGTAGCATGCTTTAGAGGACCGTAGGAACGGATGCATTCCTCTTGAATTGTGTGTGTGTGCGAAAAAAATTATAATAAAATAAAGACGTCTCTGTTGTGTTTCAGCTGTGTGTGTCGACTCATGTTAGGATAAGATTTATGTTAGATATATATATATATATATGTTTTGGTTGAGAACAGGGGTTTTAGTTTTTTGTAAGGAAATATGTTAGTTAAGGTTAAAATCTTATGAGTCTCCGTTAGCGAGAACGTTAATAATTGTTAACTATATATGAGCCCCCTGGGAGGACGTTAAGGTTAAAATCTTATGAGTCTCTATAAAAAGAGAACATTTAATAACTGTTAAAAGATTATGAGCCTACAGTGAGGATTTTTAAGAGTGTATAGAGATGTTTTGTAATGGATAAGAAAATAACTATAAATCTGCAGATTAGGATAAGTGAAGTTAAGAAACTTCAAAGTAGGATTTGTGTTCTATGTTTTGTGCTGGTTTGTGAGTTCTGTTAAGTGTTACTGTTTGTCTGTGTTGGGGAAATAACGGAGGGACAGCTGGTCTGTCTACTTTCTGTTGTTTAGCTTGGAGAGAGCTGCTTGGGAGCTCTTCTCACTCTGAAATCGCATTGGTGAATGAACTACGCATGTGTGGGATTTTATGAGTTTAGAGTTACGTAGAGCAAATATGCCACTCCCCTGCCTGCACTGAGCTGCTGTGACATGCAGACAGAGAATGAGGGGGAGACTTACACACGAATAAAGTATTCTGTTTGTTAAATCGGCTGTTGCTTAACGATGAAACTATTTGATTGAGATCTATTGAATTTATAAATGAGAG